TTTCAACCAGTAGCCTAAAGGTGCTGCACTGAACTGAGGATCTTCAATTCTACAACTTACGTGTTAAATGGTACGCACACAAACTTTGCATTTTGTCTTTGCTGAGAAAAATTATAATAAGCAAAGCTCTAAACCAATGATTTAAGAACTATACTAAGGTTCAAATTCAGATGAAAAGGTAGCAGTGCTTTTAAAGTATGTCTTTAATCTAGAATTTGTAAAGTTCTCAAAGAACAGCAACTTAATTCTTCATAATAATGATGGAAAAAGAAATATGTATGCTAACTGCCAACTTGTATATCCACATTACTGTACAATACTGAGAGCTGTCAGCTGAGGTTAAGCTTAAGAATATATCCCCATCAAAAGAGACATATTTTAAGCACTTATAAAAGTAAGCGATCAAACCAGTTCTCAAGGTAGTGTTTGAGACCTGATGCAATGCCTGATGCCAAGGTCACTAACAAATGCAGCTCATTAATTCATGCACTGCCCCCTCAAACTAGTCACAAAACCAAGCAGCTATAGCTCTGTGGTAGCTCTGGACAATCACACTTTCTCAAGTACCTAAATAATATCCAAACACTAAAAATATGCAGTAAGACAGTACTCTACTATGCACACTACAAACAAATACCAATCAGCCTTTGCAAATGCAAACACTAATTATATTTATTCAAATTATTATTATCTCCATGATGTCCATGTGCCTTTGAGATACACTGTGTTTAACCTTAATATCTGTATAGCCACATTAGGCAATCAGGGCACAGATAAATCAAAATCATTTGTTATTTAACACTACAGAATCCCACAGGACACTTTTTTGTCAGGTATTTGAAACTAGATGCAACAGAGTAACCTGAAGGACTAATGACCAACAAGTTATGGACGAGCAGTTATAGCAGGAGAGATTAACTGTGTGAAGCTGGTTAAATGTGTCATCATTTAGAACCAAGGTAACAGAGCAAGCCATACTGCATCACTGCTCTATTTAAACAAAGTGATTTCAAGTAACCAGGTATAAACCAGATAAACTAAACTGAAATAATGAAGTGAGAATTAGACAAGTTTACTTTCTTTTGCAATCTACTTAGGCAGTTATTTATATTATGTTATGTTAGGAACTCTGTCACACCCAGAAACACAAATACCTAAGATACTAGGACTCCAGACAGATTCAACATTCACATAGCTTAAACTTCCTCATGCTTAAATTCTTAACCAGGATTTCAAAATCATATAATGTACTATTACTTTAATATTTTAGCAGCTACCTGAATGAGCTTGTTCTTAATTCTGAAGGTGTCAAGCATCAATGATTTTCTGCAGTTTGACAAATTTGTTCGGGAGATGGGTATAGTAATTTAATGGAGATACTAAGGTAATCTGTTATACAGGCTATAATGCCAAAAATAATCATCTCTTACTCACAGAATTTGATCAGTAGAACAAAACACAAAATTCAATGAGTTAGAACTCTTGGTTTGTAAAATGCCACATTACAGACTTCACAGCTAACGGAAACTCCTCAAAATAGTGTTGCAGGAAAAACTACAGTAGTAGCTTATTGTAGAACATTATGATAATTGCACATGAATTCTAATAGTGACACAAGTATCATCACCTCCTCCATTTCTGCACAGACACGTTCTACAGAATCATAGAATGGTTTTGGTTGGAAAGGACCTTAAGATCATCTAGTTCCAACCCCCCTGCCATGGGCAGGGACACCACACACTAGACCATGTCACCCAAGTCTGTCTAACCTGGCCTTGAACGCTGCCAGGGATGGAGCATTTACCACTTTGGGTAGCCTGTTCCAGTGCCTCACCATGCTCACAGGGAAGAGCTTTCTTATATCTAACTCGAATTTCTCTTCAGTTTGAATCCCCTTGTCCCTTCAATACAGTCCCTCACGAAGAGTCCCTCTCCAGGATTCCTGTAGCCCGCTTCAGATATCAGACAGCAGCTCTGAGGTTTCCATGCAGTCTTCTCTTCTCCAGGCTGAACAGCCTCAACTTTCTCAGCCTGTCTCCATAGCGGAGGTGCTCCAGCACCTGGTCATCCTCATGGCCTCCCTCTGGACTTGCTCCAGCAGCTCCATGTCCTTTTTATGTTGAGGACACCAGAACGGTACACAATACTCCAACTGGGGCCTCACGAGAGTGGAGTAGAGGGGCAGGATCACCTCCTTCGACCTGCTGGTCATGCTTCTTTTGATGCGGCCCAGGATACAGCTGGCTTTCTGGGCAGCGACAGAATCCTTTCACTTTAAAGCCACACTACCTGCCAGCAAGCTCTCTCACATTGTTTATACCAAGTTCTACTTGTGCTTATAGCACCTTCCCTTACAGGGCTCAGCCCCTAATGCTGTTTCAGAGAAGCATGCATAACCATGCACCTCAGAGAAGTGCATCACATGAGTATTTGAAGTTCAGATGTTCTTTTCAACTGTATGACATGATTCAGAAGTGTAGGATAAAACTACAGAGCAGAAAATTATTATTAATAATGGCAAATACATGGTATGAGTCTTTCAGACAGAGTTCATAAGGCAGTTTACTTGTGATCTAAGCAAAATTCCCTCATTTCTCACATTTACCTAAGTGATTCCAATAATAACTCCTAAAATTTCTCCAAGACAAACAAAAAAAAGGACAAAACCAATGGCACCCACTTATTACATCAAGACTTGCATATCTCTCCACGAAGAAACACCTCCTCTAATTTTCCAAGACAGAAAGTGCTGCAAGTTAAAATTGTGTCTAGAAATGCTCACTAGAAAAGGACTCGTATTAAACATCATGTTTCATCCCAAGGAGTACAGTCACAAACTGAGAGCCTTAGGTAGAAACCTGTACTTCATTGTCTCCTGCTAATTTCAGCAGTGACTTTTAAGATGTATCATATCTTTATTATAAAGTAGATATGATAAAATATAACAACTGCATCTGAATGCAAGAAATGGGTCTATACCTGCCTGTGACCACGAAACAGAAATCAATAATCCACCAAACCAAGCATAACCATATGTCAGTTTCACACATTTTCTCCCCTCCTTTGACAGAATAATAAATAACCAACTCTCTTCTACAACCAGCATGCTGCAGGAAGCTGGATGGTATTTTATTAGCCCAGTTTACCCATCTGATCTGACATAAACTACAAATCCACCAACGCCCTGGTTACTCTATCACTAGATCAGACTATGAACTCCTGCTCAATATGCTTCAAAGTTAGACATGACACAATATAGAGGAGAGAACATGATCACTTACCCACTATAGTGTGTTTTTACTCTGATGAAGTCTTTGTTCAAATCCATTTTTGAGCCCATTCTGCTAGGCATGGTGTGTATTTAGCAGTCTAAATAAAATTATATAGAAATAAATTCATCCACGACATATAATTCATTTAATCCTGAAGTGAAGAGCTTCACATGCAAAATGTGTGTTTCTCCTCCAGATGATTTTCAATCCAGCTGCACAGAAAGAAAACCAGAAGAGAGATGAATATACAGACACTACTGAACAAATGAGTTGTCAAATTTTATAAACACAAATGGCTTTACATAGAACAGTGAGAAACTGAAAGAGAAATATACAAGAACATTGACCTGTACAGAAATTAAATCAGCTAAAAATATCCTGTACAATTCAGTTTTACAGAAATAGCCCCAGCATTTAAGGATGTTTTTTTAATAAAACACCCAACAGTTCCCTCTTGGCTAAAAATACCCTGAAGAAATCTTTACTTACTCAACACAGCTTCTGGCTTTTTTCTTCTAAGGAGTAGAGTATCTTAACACAGAATAGTTCTTATATAAATGGAAGACTGCTATCAGTTGATGTTGGTCACAAATTCACCCAAGAAAAGCAGAACTCCAAGGGACAATTTAAATTATTTTTACGACTGAAGGCTGACAAACATCCTGTTTATTGAAAATTACCTCCACCTCTCCATATACTCATATACACACACCCAGAGAGCGTCCCAGCCCCGCTGCCTGGGGAAGCAGGTCCACAGGTGCCAGGAGACTCCAGAATTCCGCCTCCCGCCCTCTCCTCTCCCGCAGGATTCGGAGGAACCCG